TGTTCTTCTTGGGTTTTTGCTTTCACGAGAATTTGAATATAGTTAAAAATACATATATATTCTTTATTATAAATGCTAGTTATATGAAAAATAATGGAAGGAAGTACAGAGATAAGGAAGTTTCCCCTTGTTCAACTCAAACCACTCTGTGCCCAAGGGTATCTCATCAGAATGTTTTATTGGCGAGGAATTAAATAACTGATTAACTGCTCTAGTAAAATCCCTCCAAGATGCTTCTAAATATCTCAAAAGGCTATAGAGTGAATAGTTAAAGGCAGGGAGGGGGAAGGCTCAAACAGAAACAAAATATATATAAAGGAATATCAGTAGATATAGAACATTGATCATTATATCATATGTTTATACTTTAAATATAAACATTAGGTGAACTAGCTGGTGTATGATTGTCCCATTCAAATCAACCAAAAATCTTCTTAAGGGATTGATCCCTTCTTATCACCACCTGGGATACCTGTCCAAGAACCATCTCAAAACATGTTAATCCTCTCCCCTTCTCTCTCAGTGCCTTTTCCCTTTTCTCCACCTCACTCTCAAGGTACCTGTGTGCTCGCGCACAAACACACACACCCTCCCTACACATAATTTATAGGATTCATGCATTTCAAGAAAGTATCAGACACTTCTAGATGTTGGGGCCACGGCAGTTAATAGAGGTTAGGTCCTTGCTCACATGAAGCTTAAATTCTAAAGGAAGAGACAATTGACAGACAAGTGAACATATTCATAAATAATTTCAGATAGTGAAAATAATATAAAAAACTGAGTGATGTGATCATAAAATATTTTATACTCATTTGTATATTCAGTCAGTATGTATATAAAATGATCATATATTAGGTATATATCCCCATTATCTTTTAAGAAATTGGGATGAAAGTGACAGAAACTATTATCCAATATAGAACTCTTGGCAGAAGAGAAAGTCACTAATTTACTGATTCTGTTTTTTTCTGCTCAAGAAATGACACAGAATGTTTGTCTTAATCGTATGTGAATCACAAATACTTTGTTACAAATTTTAAAAGAAAACATGTCTAAGAAAGCCTATCTCCACCACCCCACCCCACCCCCCAGCGAGAGTCTTAACCTTCGAAGCTAGACCTAGTTAAGAGTGCGATCACCCAGCACTTTTTCCTCCAGGCCTGTCAGAGCGAAACAGGGTCCGAGTCTGAGGTCCTTTGAGAACAATCTCACAAGCCTTGATTCACACTCCACAGTCTAATTATCATTGTTCCTTCTTCAAAGCACTAGACCATAAGAATTCTGTTTAGGCTAATAGAATTAGGCTACCCTTGAAAAAGAAAGATGGAAGGACTGCCTTGCCTATAGAAGAATTTCTTAAGATTTTGTTGTGATTGGGTTCCACATCCAAACTGAATAAGAGTGAATGTAGATTTTGTTTCTTAACTAGGAACAGATGAAAGGAAGACAGGGATCTAATGTGGGTCTTCACAAATAACTTTTTCCCCTTTATGCCCCCAGTTAATATAACCAGCATACCAGGACCTTGTGTTATAACCCAAATTCCACCACTGCAAATGGTAGTGTGTCTTTTGGAGGCCCCACCAACAGAGTCCTTTAGCCTCAGTGAATCTCCTGAGAAATTCCAGAGCTAGCAAGTCTTATTTGCACTTTTTTCCATCATTCTTTTTTAAAGCAACTAAAAACAAGCTTAAAGACATGCCTTGTTGTGCTTACAACCTACTCAAGGTAACCAAATTCAAACAGAATGGACAGATTTCATAAACCTTCTTCATAAATGGGATTTCCCTCAAGAAAGCCAGAATCAGCCAGGCTGTAAACCTGTTTTTGGGGAGATGGATGTTCACACCTCCCCGTGTTCTAGTTCAATATGTATTATCTGTCTCAGGCACAAATTGATTAGATGGCAGTAAATACTGATCAGAGTTTCACAGTTAACATTTGTGTTTGAAAGTGACCTCACCTAGAACACTACCCCAGATAAAGACTGTCAGAATGTGCCTGAGGCATAACTCAGAGTAACCAGTCTGTCACCAGTTCTACTTCCTTTCCTTTCTCATCTGTCTCCCTCCATGGGGAATGGAGGGTGATGCCTCCCATCTCTGGGGGTAGGAATGTTTTCTTACAGCTTTTCAGAGAGTAATCAAGGAATCAGAGCTGAAAAACTGCTCTGGGACCTTGAAGATCCATTGTATAAACACAGAAATGGCATACAGGAGGAAGTTTTATACTGTAGGGAGTCTACCCCTTGTCTCGTCCCTTCAACTAGCCATTTTTCTGTACAAGAAACCCTTCAACCTGTCCTCCATCTTCTCTAGAATGTGAAGCCCCATGCATAAGGCAGCAGTACTATTTTCACACTTAATTCCTCACTACATTTTGGTGGGCATTGGTAACCCTCAACCTAGGACTGCCTCTGTCACTGTTACCGGAGAGTAGGTTCTTGTCTCATCACAGAAAGAATTCAGAATCAAGACACGGAGGTCAAGAAAGCAAAGCGAGGATTATTAAGCAATAGTATGCTCTCAAGGGGAGAGAAGACAAATTCATGTGAATAGCTGCACTGAGTTTCTTTGGCAAGTTGGTTACATGAAGTATAAAAATGAATGGGCAGAATATTCAATGGGGAGGAAGGGGTTTGGGGTCTTATTTCCTAATTTTTATCTCAGCTTCACCTTCCTGAGGGGAGGAGAGATTTTTGTCCTTATTTAGTCTTGATCGAAAGTGTTATGGTATTGGTACACGATGGGTACTTCTTATCTGTAAGGCTAATTTTATTGTAATGAGTGTATAATGAGGCTCAAGGTCTACTGGAAGTTGAATCTTCCACCATCTTGGACCTAGTTGGTTCTAACCAGTTTATGCCCTATCCTTAATGGCTGTGTCATTCTTTTAATGGATGTGCCCTGCCCCCTTCCCTCCTGTCTCACTACCATGCCTTTCAACTCCAAGACCTCAGTGCAATTCTCTGTGCCGGGTTATCCTACTTTGGGTAGCTAATACCTTCACTACAATTAGAACAGCGTCTCCTCAAGAGTGAAGAGTCTGGCCTGGTCTTCCTAGCCTTATAGAAACTTTTGTCTGGAGTATTCAAGTATTCAAGCCCTCAAGGACCTGGAATGTAATGTTTGTGGTAAAACTAAAACCATAATGGAATAGAAAGAAAGCAGCTCTTCAAATATATCTCTTGTAAATTTTTACGTGCTGTACTATTGTAAAATATTTTCTCAAACTTTGATGGCCCAGAGAACAGAATTTTGTGAATTTAAATTTTTTCAACTCTGTATCTCTAAATTGGGTAAAGGTTAATCTTCCCGAGTTAGACTGGTACATAATATTAATCCCAGTGCTGCGCTGCCTCTGCAAAATACAGTTGAACAACCAAAGGGTGCCCACCCTCCCCTTCATGCAGTTGAAAATCTGAGTATAACTTATAGTTGTCCCTCTATATATATTCACTGCCTCCATATGCGTAGTTCCTCTGTGTCTGCAGATTCAATCAACAGTGGATCATGTGGCATTGTTGTATTTACTATTGAAGAAAAAATCCATGTTCAAGGGTCACCTGTAATTCTTTCTATTCCTGGTTAGGTACTCCTGATGCATAATAATGAGATAGCTAGATTAAATGACTTATAATCAGTTCTGACTTTTTTGAGAATTAAAATCTCTTTCAGTGGTTTTATTTTACAGAACACAAATAATATACTAATTGAGAATAATAAAAAGGGCACTTTAAGTTTTAGTCAGTGAAAACCAGGACTACCTCACTGCACTATTTAAGTTTCTACATGAGATTATTTTGTCTTTCAAAGTAATATATGTTAACTAAAGGGCCATTTAAGATCTTAGAGTAGGACTTACTTAAGTTTATTTTGCTTTAAAATGCATTTTGTTTTACTTTTTAAATGAACTTCAGTAATTACCAAAAAGAAAAATGAACCTAATTTCTTTATTATGACCTTCAGCCAGGATGATGAGCCATATTTAATTTGGGGAAAGTATACTTTAAAAGCTAGTATGTTAAATTATTGACTTCTCCCCCTGACTAGAATTTATATTTCAGCATTAAAACATACTATAAGTCCCAAATACCCTTGAGTTATATATAAAAGATGAAAAGAACTAAATTTTTTCCTTCTCATACACTGAAATGATCTTAATTCTCAACATACTATTCTGGTGTTTGGAAAATACTTGTAAAGGAATGTAAATTATAGCCATTCATATCTCTTTGTTTTCTATATAATTGTGTTCCTTACACCAAAATGTGTTACTATCACCCACCAAAGCTTAAGCTTTTTCAATTACAAAATGAGGTGATGGCTGTTGTCCTTTAAAAACACACCTCCATGCACTTGCTCATTCTGTCCCCTCTTCCTGAGATACTTTAACCCGTAGTCCCCACATGTGTCTCCACTTAGAATGATCTGGGGACCATGAAAACATTCCCAAGCCCAAGCCACATCCCAGACCAATTAAAACAAATGTCTGCCACACAGGTATCAGTACTTTCTGAAAGTTCCCTAGGTGGTTGCAATGGGCTGCCAAGTTCAAGAACCACAACCTCAACCAACTCGTTCCCACTTTTGTTCATCCTTCCCATCTGAGTGGACAGAGTGCTCCTCCATTATTCTTCTTGCATGTCTCTACCATAGCAAGAATCATTAAAGTATATTGTAAACATTTACATGCTCACCTGTTCCCTCAAACTATTATAGGATTCAGAAATATTTTTGCATTAGAATCCCAGAGTCTAACCCTGTGGCTGGTGTATGGGAGTACTCAATAAATTCATGGAATAACTTTTTCCTAGTAAAACTAAAGCAAAAACATACAGTTATGTTAATATTTATATGCTGTGGAAAAAATATTAGCTTAAGGTGTGTTTAGGATGTTTCACTTGATGGGCAATGTCTCATTTTTAGGAAAACACCTCATTATATTAATGGAAATATATCTATAACTCAACATTAAAAAGAATCATATAACTTTGATTACCTACAAAAATGCATTCTTTATTGTAATAAGCGCAGAAAAACATTTCCTTTGATAAGAAACATCTAAAACAAGCCATCCTTTCCCATTTCCACTTCCATCTTGAGTGGAGTATGTGTTGTTTTCCAAAGCAATCCTTTCAGAAGTTTATGATGTTTCAGGGGGTTATAAAACTGATTTTAAGAGTTTTAAAGTACTTAGTTTACAAAAATGTATCATATCAGAGTCTATGTTTATTGTGGTATTCGCACTAAAATGATCATTATGATTCAAAAAATACTCATGTAAGAAATTTTGTTATAGTCAAATTCTAGACAATAGACCTAATCTTAAATGTAGGTTTTAAAAAAGCTGCTTAAAATATTTTGCAGCTTGGGTTACCTAATCACTTCATATTGCAGCAATGTTTTACAATCTAACAAGATTTTTTTTTATCTGCTTGATTTTTATGCTTGAAGCCCAAAAAGAAATCAGATTTAGGAACTGCTTTCCAATATATTCCTCACTTATCTCATTTATTTCATATATGAAATGCTGGATTATCTCATTAGATATCAAATTAATTTAAGACCTTACCAACTACTGTTCAATATGCACTCATTCTGAATGCATATTACAGACAAAAATGTGTGAAAAATTGTAATCTTCCACTTTTAAATGCCAGCATTGTAATCACTCAACCAATTTTTAAATTTAGCCTATTAATTAAATACAGCTAATTTAAAAGGCAGTCATTGGAACATAGTTCTTGTCCTCCTTTCCATAATGGAGTCATGACTTTAAATCATGAGTGCAATATCCTTAGAAACTGCTCTGCTTTATCAGAAATAAGCTCGGAATGTATCATCAATTGTAGAAAAACAAAAACCATCGTTCCTAATATTCACTTCTAATGTTACGGTTAGCAAAATGTAAAAGCTGTCAATGAGACAACTATTCCAATTAAGCTTCAGCTGTGATGAACAGTAAGTTGAGTTTCATTTGTCATGCATACTTTCACACAGGCATGCTTTCAAACAGTAACGGCTAGCTTTATATATTTATGTTTGAATCAAGAGTAGGGCAATTTTAAAGTTGGCTTTCTCAGCACAAATCTGACTTGGGGTAGTGTCCTTTCTTAGGTCCTCTGATTCTTTGTCTCCTTGTCATCATATCCAAACACACCCCATCACTCCTTTAGTAAGGGGTCCTGTGGGGCGTTACTGCCAGTGTCACTGGATCAGCAGTCAACAGAAGACCTAGGACGGTAAAGCCCAGGAGGTTGGCGCTCTGTGGGTCGCAGGCCTGAGGGACAGGTGGAGGCTGGTTCTCTCTTGTCTCCAGTCCCCAGAAGCTGGTCCCAGTGGGCGCAGGGTGAGTGGAGAGGCGTAGCTTACCCCTTTCCTAGACCCAACAACCAAAATTGACAAAGAGACCTCCGTCTCCTGACTTGAGTTTTAGTGCCATAAAAAGATCTTCCACTAGCCCTTTGCATCACCCGCCGCCCCCTCGGTACCATCGAGAGCGGGCAAATATAATTTCTAAGGGGTCTCTGGCACTAAAACCACAGCAGAAAGAGGCTGTGTCTACCTGAAGAACTGGAGAGGCAGAATTGGTGGGGGAGGCTTGGCTTCCTCGGCGACGCTCCCTAGATCCAGTATAAAACCCAGGAAGGAGAGGCGTCCCGAATGGTGGGTGGGCAGGTGTTTGCGGGACTGGAGGACGGGAGGGAAGGAAGGAATCACGAAGCCTCCTCCGCTGGGACCGCCCCCTCTCTCGGTGGCCGCGCCTCCGTGGTTCCGAATTAGTAAGACGGAACTCAGGCCAAACCGCCGCCCCCGGACAGACCGACTGGGCTCCGAAGGGAGAGGTCCCGGGGGCCGGCGGCCGGGCG